GAAATTACTGTGTGACAAACACAAAAGTCCTGGAAAGAACCAACAGTCAAAGCACTGAATTGCTGATCATTAAACACAGTCTTTGATGGTCAGGGCAAGAATGGAAGAGTCAAGATTTCCATGTCAGGTCTTATTCAGTGAGTTAACTTCATTGGAGAGACCATGGAGTTGTCCTCTTCAAAGAGACAAGGATCAAATCAAAACAACACTGAAAGCCATTAGACTTGAGCCTAAATTGTTTGAGAAACAAGCCTGAGACCATGTCAACAGGTGACGTTCCATCACCATCAGAACAAAAAAACTTTGAAACCCCAGAAGAGAAAAGGAAGAACTCAAACAAAAGGAAGGCACAAGATCAGCCTCATACTCCACCAACATTACTATGTAGTCAATGCCATCAGCTCTTCAATGCAAGAATTGGTCTACTTGTTCATCAACGCCATCATCATAAAGGAACCAATCAGAAAAGAAGAAACAAAATTCTTGGATACAAGATAAGGCCAACAATGATGAACTGTTAATTTTTGGGCCATTGCCACAATGGAGTATTACTGCCATATATGGTCTGGAGCCCCTTCTGTTTGCCTCGGGGTTCTTGATAGGCTCCAGAGGTGGATATGCAATATAATTGACCCTGTTCTGGCATCTCATCTACAGTCACTCTCTCACAGACATGCCGTCGCCTCTCTGTCTTTTTTACAAATACTTTCATGGTAATTGCTCCGAGGAGCTGCATTTGCTGGTTCCCAAACTTCATGAGTTCAAGCGCCCTACGAGGCTGGCATCCCGATCTCACCCTTTCACTGTTGAAACTGTTAAATGTAGCCGCCTCTTCTACTCCAATAGCTTCATATATCGCACCTCTCGCCTGTGGAACTCCCTTCCCTATTCCAGTTTCCCTGAGAGCTATTCAAATGCAATGTCAATCGATATCTCCACTTGTCTTGAACTATCAACTATCCTTCTCCTCGTCCTTTCCTCTATCACTCCTATCTGATCTTGCTCCAAATCTTCTGTAACCCCTTGCGTCCTAGTGGCTTCCCGCCTTGCTTGGTGTGAAATGCTTAAAAAAAAAAATGTCACTAAAAACAAAATTAAGGAAAAAGAAACATACAAATAAGTGAGAACCACTGTCCTTGGAGCAAATATTATAAAGAAAAGAGAAAACTTCTTAATGTATGAAAAGTTAATTTATTTATCTCTGTGGATAAGCAAAATATATGTATATTTGTTCAGTCATTTACTAAAATGTTCTATTTGTGGTTCTGTGATGTGAGCTGCAGACTGATACCTGTAAATGTGTTATTCAAATCATGTTTTCAAATTATATATTATAAATTGTGTCATAACTTTTATAGAAAATTTTCACTACTTCAATTTGGTCATTATCAACCATTAACCATCACATCACTGTCAGAAAGTATAATTCCTTCACCTGATATTAAACTACAAAGTATGAATATTTTCTTTCAGTTATTCACCATAGCTCTTGTGATGTTCGCTAAACTGCATCCATTAAAGACGGAAACAGTTGCATGTATTCCACAGAGAGGAATATTTAAAATCAAGCTTAATTTATTGCTTCTGCATGATAGTTTTTTTTTTTTTTTAAGCAGAAATTGCTGCAAATCACATTATATCATTGGAAGACTACATAAATCGTTTTTGAATAAGTAAAAATTATTTTTTAATTTAAATAGTGCTGTACTTTATAGAGTAGAACAGTATCAACTGGCCTTTGGGTCTATAGAAAAATGAATTTTCACAAAGCTATTTCTATTTCTGGTAACAGAGTAAGCCATTATCATTCTTTTACTTGCCAGTGTGCAAGAGTTTTATTCAGAATATTTTTATTAACAGAGCATTAAAACTTGAAATGCTTTTATGCCTATATTGGTAAACATTCTGATCGAATGTTGCATTAATTCTTGCTAAATTAGATTACAGCCTGTTTTGCATTGTGCACATATTTATGGTGCTAACTCAATCAAATTGACTTACGTGATTGTCAAGTATCTCCAAAACAAATGATTAGATCAAAAGAAAAACGAAGTCTTCAATCATATCAACATATTGATCAATACTTTGAACCAATCTGTCTCAGCCTTTTGTTGTTAATGCCTAGACTATGCTTTCTTTCCTACACTTGTTCCTTCATTTTAATTCATCATCTATAATCATAACCGTCTTCATTTCTTCGCTCATTCCTGCTGACATATGCATTTCTCTTATCTTTGATTATTGAATCTGTTAAGAAGCAGACAGAACACAATAATATTCAGAATATCATTTAAATAACATTATTGTATATCATCTATGTTGACATTGCATATCATTTAAATAAAATTATTGCATTTTTCTTTACATAACATTTTGTATCTTTTATATGAGCAAAAAAGAAAATATTAGCTTTGTCATGCCAAGCAAAACACCCACATGTGGATATTATAATGGATAATGGCTTGGAATTTTTAATCAGAGAGACAAGTTCAAATTCTGGTTGGGTTTGTTATATTCACTTACAAGAAAATACCTTTGGGTAAGGTATGAATCACCCCAGCTATGGGTTAATTAGTAAGACTTCTATCACTAAAACCATTATTAACTCCCTCCATAATTAAATAACCCACAGAGATTGATATGCTGTTAAATAAAAATAACCACCGAACCAACAGTCTTCTTTGTTAGGGGACAGAAGGCAGAGTGAGTGTATATATATATATATATATGATTGAAATAAAAGTATAAAATTTAATATTACAAGACATATTAAAAAAAAAAATAAAAAATAAAAAAAAAACAACAACAAGGGGGAAGCAACTGGTTTTGCTCCCACTCTTCAGGAGATTCAAAATTTTTTAATATGTCTTGTAATATTAAATTTTATACTTTTATTTCGATCATTAAATTTTGTACCTACAAAAATATCTTTATATATATATATATATATATATATATATATAAAGCCCCTATGATGCGTGTGTGTGTGTGTGTGTGTGTGTGTCTATGCACAAGTATACACTAGTTCAAAAGTTTGAAGCCACCCCCATAATTAGCATGGGATGAACTTGACAGAAGAGTGAAAAAAAAAAAAAAGAAAAAAAAACTCTTAAAGTCAATGAATAAAGAATGGAATCAATTATCAAACTCATACATTGACAAACTTTTGCAATGAATGCCAAAAATTTGTGCTGTAGTAATCAAAGTTAAAAGAGGATATTTTGACGAGAGCAAAATTTAATCATAAAATACTTTTTATTTTTGTCATAATAAAATTTCTAATAAAAATCATGAGTCACTTTTTTTTTAACCATGTATAATAATCTTTAAAGATTTTTGAGAGAGTATCACAGGAGTTTGGTTTGTGGCATATCAACCTCAATAAGTTATTTAATGCTGACAAAATTTTTATTACTGGTAATATATATTTTTCAAAAATGGTAATATCTTTTTTTTTTTTTTTTTTCAAAAAAAAGTCTTGCTGCTCATAATTATTATTTTTTTTTTTTTTTACAATTTCTGGTATTAAACCATACCTTTACACTTTCACAGTGCTTTGACCCCTGTTTGGGTGTTAACTATTTGCTCATAGCTGGGACCCTAACAGGTGCTACCACCCTGAGTCAGGGTGGACCTGGGAACACCAGCAATTAAGAGGTGGTTCCACAATAATCATAATAACTGCTGTTGGATGTAGTTTATCATTTTATCCAGATCGCGGATGTAGTTTATTGCCATACCCCAGTGAGAAAAAACAAAGAAAACTATTAGAATAGAACTTATGGTAGTATCTAGCTATTTCAACCATAAAATAATGAAATCTAGTAAACAATTTAGTAGTATGCTTAAATTTATGTGGTTGCAGTACTAAGGTTTTCATTAGACTCATTAAAATTCATAGAACTTCAAACTGAACTCTTGTGGCTGGGGGACAGAACAGATGAAACATTGTGAATATAACATTCAAGATGAGTGTGCTAGTTTGCTATTGCTAAGCATGTGATAATGATAAGTCATCTAAAAATTAACACCAAAAGTTAGCATTTTTTTTGGTTTGTACAACCAAGAAAAAAAAAAAGAAAAGAAACTCCTTTATGTTTTCTTATGCCCTGTACACTTGTATAAGGTTGAAGACAGTTTTTCCAAAAAGGTGTTGTAACAAGAAAAAGAATGGATACAATTCATGGAATGCTAATGATGCACCTGAAAAGGAGAAACAGTATCATAAGCCACTGGTGGTCAATATCTACCTAGCAGCCTGCTACTTGCATAAGATTATAGGTGAGAGTCCAGATTACAGTTTTAATGAAATTTCAGAATTAAAAATAATCTTGGAAGTATGAGGTTTATCTGAAAAGTATTCAGGCGTTTAATATTCACAAAATATAACCAACCTATGGAAATGGCATCTTAGTCCTCTTCAAAGCACTCCCCCATTGAGATATCACACAATTGTCTCAACATTCATTCCACTTCTCTAGAGTCACTTCTGGGATCAGCATCAGCTGTCATGCCATATTCCCCTTCATCTTGTCTCACATTATTTTAATGGTGACTTTAGCTTTGAAAAAAAAAAAAAAAAAAAAAAAAACTAGAACTCACTGGACTCTAAATTTGTTTTTTTTTTTTTAACAAGAACAAAGAAGAAAATCTTTGCATTAGATATGCTTAGACACTGTGAATGCAATACTCATAAACTCTCTCAGGGTTGACTAACTAATACCATGGAAGAATAACTGTTCATGCATACTGAATAGTTTTACAGTTTGGATTATATTGCTTGGGGTGAACGGATTTAAAAAAAACAAAAACAAATCATAGTGGTCACTAGGTTCTGGTTAAAATTTAACCAACCACATGTAAAATCTGGAAGATACTTTTTGGTGTTTAGTTGAGTGGAGAAAAAATATATAAATTTTATGTTTGTCAATAAATCTTGAATTTCAATTGGTTGTTTATTATAGTTTGTGGTTCTTCACCTTTTCTGTTTTTATTTACAGATGCCCTTACAGTCAATGTGTCAGTTGGCACTTCCTTCCGGTTGAAACTGAATTATAAACTCTGTGTCCATGGCCCAGTGGTGTGGAAAAAGGATGGTGTAGAACTGTGTCCTGGAGATGAATACCTTCTAGCACAGGACCAATCGCTTATTTTGCAGAATATCCATGAAAACCACCAAGGAATCTACCAAGCTCTTGATAGGCATCATAAAGAAGTTTCTCATTATATCGTTAATATACGTAAAGGTTGGTATATCATTGTTTCTTTATCGGTTTCTTATTATCTATTATCGGTACTAATTCACTCAAAAAAAGTGGTGGCCATGATTTAAGTAATTCTGCAATTGTATTTTACTTGAATATAAAAAGCTTTACATTTTTGTGTGTGTGTTCATATCTACATCCAATACTTCCTGTATATAAAATAACATTCTATTTAACACTGAATAATTATGAATTTGACATCAGAAGGACATTTTCTTTTTCACTAGATGTCAACTAAATACAACAACTTGTTCATCACTGTTGCTCTGTCCTTGAAGGACATGCAATTTTAAAAGAAATATAGAGTAATTGCAATAAAAAGTAACAGAAATTAAGATGCGAGGCAGCATATTTCCAACAGATACAACATTGCCGGCTTATTGATATTTATCGCTATTTCTATGGCAAATGGTTAAATGACCTGTTCTTTAGTCTTACTAGATCGAACGTTCACAGCTAAGACGTGTCATTCTGTGACCACAGATTGTAATCACCTTCATTTTCTCTGTATTCCATTCTACTAAATGACAGTTGTTAAGTGCTTGTAAACAGGGCTGTTATTTAATTTTGATTATTTAAATTCAGTTTATTTTCTGATTGCAAAAAAAAATAAGAAAAAATCGAATTACTTAACAAAAAGTGACATTTCAAGGCAAAATCCTTAGTTTCTATTCCTATGGAAATTTAGAAAAGTCTGAGATGTGAACAAAATGTCTATATTGGATGTAATTTCATAGTAACAAGGACTAATGAAAACAATAAAAATCTAACAGATAAGACCAATAAGAAAAAACAGCACATCTGTATAAACTAAAAAATGATAAAAAAAATACTTGAAGCATTAATCATAGAAAACAAACAAGCCAACCTCAATAAAAATATTATCAACTTTCAAAACAAAAATACTAAATATATTTCATAGTTACAAAAAAAAAAAAAAGCCAAATTAAATAGAATAACCAAAGTGATGTGAAGATATGATTCTTTAAAAAAAAACTAACATGGCAGCTGATATGCAATATTTGAAAAAAGATGAAACTTACATAGCACAATAATTAAAATATATACATATAGTCATAAAATTATCTTTGATAATGACTTATGAAAGTCAAAAATACTCAGACATCAGATCATTTAAAGTTCTACCAGAAACCAAAAGATCCTTAATAAAGAACTTCCATTGATCTTTCAAACAGTTGAAAATTCTGAAATTCACAATGAAGAAAGTAGGTTTGGTGAATTTGACACTCACACAACATATTAAAAGCAATAAGTACAGAGGGAAAACATTCTGTAATGTATCTAGTGAGCTTGTGTGAATGGAAGGCAGAACAAAGGCGAGAAGAGATAGCAAAAATACAAACATTTCTAAGAACTGAAGAAACATGGCAAATAAAAGAAAATATGGCAGTGAATGCTGGCAATTTCTTCACTGATGAAAAGAAGAACTGAGGCAAGAGAGATGATGTTCTAAAGAAGGCTGCTGAGGATACCAGGGATGGAGTGTATGACTAACAAGGGAATTTTAAGGAAAATGAAAACCAGAAAAGCATATACTTAGAATCAGAAAGAAACAATTGAAGTTTTGGGAGCACATAATGAGGAAAGACGGCTTGGAGAATCTGACACTCACATGACATACTGAGAAAGAGGTTTGGTTTATAGCATATCAACCTCAATGGGTTATTTAATGACAAGATTTTTATTACTGGTAATATTCCTTTTTTTCTTCAAAAATTTATTGCTGGTAAGAATTTTTTTACAAAGTATTTCTGGTATTAAACCCTATTTTTACACTTTCATAGTGTTTTGACCCCAATTTGGGGGTTACCTATTTGCCCATACCTGGGACCCTAACAGGTGCTACCACCCGATTCAGGTGAACCTGGGAACACCAGCAATTAAAAGATGGTTCCATGCTCCTCAAAACCTCTTGATCAGAGGCCTTGCTGTTGGATGTAGTTTATCGTCATACCCCGGACGGGAGAAAGAGGCGTAGAGGTAAATACTGAGTAAACTAATGAAGTTGCATAAATGGATGGCAGAATTGTGAGTGGATGGAATAAGAAGATAAACTTTTCTTAAAATCTATGAAGCATAGGAAGTAGTAGAGAACCATGATCACCTACATACTGAAGTAACAAAGCACATAGAAGAAGCAGTTTAGAGAAAATTAGCATTTGCAAGTAATTGTGATATAAATTCTATAAATAAAAAGACACTTGACATTAAGTGGAAACAGTTAAAGATGGCATTTAAGTGAGTTTAAATCTATTTTTCTGTTAAGTTTTGTAGTTGGCAGAGAAATTACATCTGTTTAGGGGAATACATATTTTGATCAAAATGTCAGCTCTTGCTAAAAGCCGTGATTGACCAATCAAAATTCATGGACTCTTTTAGAATGTGCACTTTGCTACTTGCTCTTTCTCTCTCTCTCTCTGAATGACTGATATTTCAAGTGTAAGGTTGTTTACCGGCTTATAAGCACAGCTGTTTGTTTGTGCCAAGCAACCTGTCTTCTCTCGTAACGTCTTTTCCGATGTTGGAGACATCTATGACTCCCTTTGAGGAAATTCTGGACAGACCTTCAGTGGCCTGGAAGAGAATCAACTTGACAGAAACACGGACTCTCTTTTAGATATTTATAGATGCATTCAAACCGAAGATTCCTGATAAGTTCAAAGAAGTTGACATAACTTTCATAAATGCACGCACATATTTGCTGCCATTTTCTGTCTGTGAGTAACCATTGTCCTGTTTAAACCAGCATGTGCATTTTGTTTGTTATAGACACCACTTTTTGATTGCTCTACTCTGTAGCCTTCTTCAGGTTTCTTTGTCTTCAATAAATTTCTTGGACTGTTGTCCTTATCTTTGCCATATTCACAAAGTTTCGACTGTTGCATACTCTGGCCTTCTTCGTGTGATTGGAATTTTGAACTGAACCCACGGAAGTAGATTTTTCTAGTTCCACATGCCGTGCCTCTTCCAGGTATCTCCATATCAGTTTTTCCCCTTTAACTCAAATCTCCAATTTTTTTGTCCACCCCTGCTGGAGACAGGTATTGAACTCACAACTCTTTGGGTCAAGTCACTCCATTACTTCAAACGATGCTTTTATTCAGTGGGACATGTGTCCCAGAGTGTAAAATGGCAACAAAAATGAGGACATCATTCTGAACATTGTAAATAGTGTAAATAATTACAATACCTCATCTCAGAAATAGAGACAGAAATTTCTTGGAATTTTGAATCAAATCTTTGTGCAAAGACCTGACAAAGGCCAGCTTGGTGTACAACAGCTGAAACATTGTGAGTATAATAATGAAGATGAAGAGGCTAGACCAAATAAAAAAGCCTATAATAATAATAACAATAATAATGAATATGCACCAGAAATCAAAGAAAATTATAATAATAATAGTTTATCTAAAAAAAAAAAAAATCCATCAAAATATACCATTTTTCTAGTGTGCACAACCAAGAAAAATTGAAGAAACTCTACAGCCCTCTTTTTCTTATTTATTCAGTGTACACCTGTATATGGCTATTGAGAGAATTTCAAATAAGCTGAGGTAAAAAGAACATAGTTTTTAGAATGTTAATGATACAATTAAAAATTACAGTGTTGATATATATATATATATATATATATATATTCATATCTGAATGTGAGTATTCCCATTTAATAATAGCCTGTTTAAAGTTTGTCTAGGTAGATAGTACATGTAGCTAATTTATATATCAGTTGTAGTGAAGAGGGCATTGGCCAATCAGGGCTTATTTCATTGATATAGAAATTGGCTACTTTATGTGAAAAGACATTAAGATTAAGATCAGAATATACAGAGAGAGAGAGATGAAGAAAGAGACTCTTCTTAACTGATTTTAGCAAAATGTAGGTAGATGTGCATTTGTATTGTGTGAATGAGGCTAACTTAAATCTGCACCATGAATTAGGGATTTCGCTATTTGGTGAAAAGCTTTCTCAACTTTAACATAGACACTGTTTTAATCTTGTTATAGTTTAACTTAAGGTGAGATATGCTCATTGGCGTTTTTTTTATTTCCTTTGTTCTTTGCCTTCTCTTTTCACCTTCCTTGTTAGCTTACAAGCCTCATGAGCTTGAAAAACCAGTTCCCATATGATCAACATCAAGACTCTGGTCAGTACCTAGATTGGTGACTGCTTGAGAATATCAGGTGCTGTCAGCTTGGATGTGCAGGTTGTGTGATAGATAATGGCTTAGAAATGTTAATTGAATAGCTGAGGTCCAATTGCATACAAAATATTTAGATTTTAGCATAACCCATAGAGGTGTTGATATGCTGTTAAAGAAAAACAACCAATCAACAATCTTCTTTGTTAGGGGACAGAAGACACTGATGTGGGAATGTTTCACTTTACTTTCATTTATTTTAATTCCCCCACATTTTTTCATTTGTTAATTTACTTTTTTCCTGCTATTTTAGACATGTATATATAAATAGTTGTATGTATGAATGTGTGTACAGGTGTGTGTGTGTATATATATATATATGTGTGTGTGTGTATCTTGATGGGCATGTATGTATACATGTACATTACAATTCAAAAGTTTGAGGTTACCCCTGGTATCTTTTTTAAAATTGGCCAAAAATTTAGTCGTTTTGTGCTTTAAATAAGAGAAAATTATGGTTAAAAAAAAGTGAGACATGATTCTTTATGAGAAATTATATTATGGCAAAAAGAAAAAATTAGGCATTGTATAATTAAATTTTGCTCTCATCAAAATATCCTCCTGTAGCCTTGATTACAGCTATACCAACTGGCTCTAATACAGATATAAATAAAAAAAAAAAACAAAACAAACACAGAGGCAGACTCTCTTCAATTCTCAAGTCAGGAAGTTATAATCTAAGGTAATTACTGTGAATTATGATACCAACTTACCCTGAGAGATCACAAGATATTCTTACACAGTTTTTGTGTTTCTTTCAGT